TTGGTCCAAAGGTCTGTTCTTGAGTTGGTTTTGTCCCTCCATGTCTATGACGGTGGACCCATGGATCCAAGGTAACTTCATCTTGGCCCTTGAACCAAACCGACATAGATCAACGCTTGTGAGGCCTTCTAGAGTCCTTCCAGCAGATCAATAATGTGGCAGGGGCCAGGGGAGTTGGGCGACACCAGGCGGTGTTGGCCAACGTGGCCCTATGGGCCCATGGCCCCCTGCCACGTCCACTTGCCTCCTATGCATGTCTTTTGTCCATTTTTGTGAAAATTCCTACATACAAACAATTTTCCCAAGTACAAGTGGAACTAGGTGAATTTTAAACATATAATGACACTTGTGATGTTGTTTTACCTTGGTTTGGGGTGAAATGTTGATGGTCAAAGTGGGTGTTAGTGACCATCAACACTAAGCTCACTAGCACTACTCAATAGCAAGGCTACACAAGCCAAACTAGAGAGCTCAACAAATACTTAGCTACATAAACTAAGCAATGTAACTAGCAAGACTACACAAGACAACTAGTTATGTCGAAGAGCATCTAAAATGGTACTAAAGCAAACTAGGTACACAAGAGAAACAACTCAAGCACAACATATGAACAAGTAAATACAAGCTTGTGTATGGAGATTGCAAACCAACAAGAAGAAGATGACACGATGATTTTTATCCTGAGGTTCAGTGGTTTGCCAACCACTTAATCCCCATTGAGACAAGCTTAAGTTGTCACCGGTCCTCTTGCTAGTGGTGACCCACAAGTCACACTCTCCCACGTGGAGTGCTCAACATGAGCTCTAGTACTCAACCCAGCTAGACCACTTGATGCTCTTCACGTCTCACTCAACTAGAGTTGCTCTTTGCGTCTCCCGCGGGGCGAGCACAACAACCCTCACAAAGCACTTCTCCAGAGCACCGCATAATCTTCTTGCGGGCTTCACAATGGAGACACGTCACCAAGCCATCTAGGAGGTGGCAACCTCCAAGATTAACAAGCACCACCGGCTTGCAACTCGATCACCTAGTGCTAACACTTGCAATCTCTCAATGCAACGCACTAGAATCACTCGCTTGCAATCGGTGTAATCACAATGCACACAATTGAGTTAGAGGGCTTCCCAAGCACACCAAGCAAAGCCACAAAGGCCTAAGGATGCTCACAGCCGGCCAAAGCTAGCCACCATGTCTATTTATAGACCCAAGTGCAAGGGAGCCGAAGCAGCCCTCACTGGGCTTTTCACATGAGCATCGGACACTACTGTTCACATCAAACAATTGCCTCAGTGGTTGATGCTCTAGATGAAGCCACGTGTCACTAGCTGTTGGCGCCCAACCGCTCTCATGCACGTGTCTGACTCCTTAGCATCTGATTCGCATAGGATAAAGTGCTACTCAGCATCCGATGCACTCCAGAGAGCACCCAGAGCGCTCTAGATCACATCGGACATGTCCAATGGCTCACATCGGACACAACCCTAGTGTCCGATGCCTTCGCTGACTACCACGCTGAAAGGTCCTAATGGCTAGTGGGGGGTGAATAGCCTATTAAAAATTTCTACAACAACACTTAGCAAAGATGTTAGATAATTAAACGGCGAAGCGAGTGTTGCGCTAGCCTACTAAAATACAAGCCACCTACCATAATTCTAATGTATATGTGAATAGTCTATTAAAAATTTCTACAACAACACTTAGCAAAGATGTTAGACAATTAAACGACAAAGCGAGTGTTACGCTAGGCTACTAAAATGCAAGCCACCTACCATAATTCTAGTGTCTATGATCTCTAAGCACACAATGGCTATGTCACTACACTAAGTTAGTGTGCTCTCAAAGACTAACTAAAGAGCCACACTAACCACTAGACCCTACACAAGCTTGCTCTCAAAACTAAGTACACTAAAGAGCGAAGCAACAGTAGAAATGTAAATGCAAGGTAGGGAATGTGATGATTATACCGCCGTGTAGAGGAATTGAGTCAATCACAATGATGGAGCCAATCAATTACAATGAATACCAAGAAATCCTCGGACAAGATGACACAAGATTTTTTACCGAGGTTCACTTGCTTACCGGCAAGCTAGTCCTCGTTGTGGCGATTCACTCACTTGGAGGTTCACGCGCTAATTGGCATCACATGCTAAACCCTTAATAGGTTGCCGCACAACCAACACAAGATGAGGATCACACAAGCCATGAGCAATCCACTAGAATACCTTTTGGCTCTCCACCGGGGAAAGGTCAAGAACCCCTCACAATCACCATGATCAGAGCCAGAGACAAGCACCTTCCTCCACTCGACGATCCTCACTGCACCAAGCCGTCTAGGTGGCGTCAACAACCAAGAGTAACAAGCAAATCTCGTAGCAAAACACAAACACCAAGTGCCTCTAAATGCAATCACTCAAGCAATGCACTTGGATTCACTCTCAATCTCACAAAAATGATGAATCAATTATGGAGATGAGTGGGAGGGCTTTGGCTAAGCTCACAAGGTTGCTATGTAAATGCAAATGGCCAAGAGTCTAAGCTTGAGGCGGCCATGGGGCTTAAATAGAGTCTCCAACCAAATAGAGTCGTTGGGCTCACACTGCTCTTCCACCACAGGGTGACCGGACGCACAGGCACTACACCATGACACACATTTGCCTACACTTATGTGTTGGCAAAAGGCAGGTTTGGACGACATATTATGTGTTGGCAATTGTATATCGTTTTAATGTCTAATCATCTGTCGGCAATAAGACTGTAACACTACAAATTATCTGTCGGCGTTTCTCTGCTGGCAAAAAAAGTGTCGGCAAATATTAGAAGACTTAGAAAGTGTCGGCGTAGACTATACAGGGCAACTATGCAAGTGTCGGCGAAGGAGTACCCACGCTGGTTAAAAAACTCTCCTCCCCTCCTCTCTCTCTCTCTCTCTTCCCGTCTCTTCTTTCCCGTAGTGCTCTCTCTCCCTCCCTAGCTCTCCCGACACGGCCACGGCGGCGCCACCGCACCTCGGCAGCGCCGGCCCTCGATGCGGCGCTGGCTGCCCTCCTTCTCCACGCCCTCCTCACGCCTCATGGCCGCGCGGGCCGATGGCGCCACCTGCCGGGTGTTGCGCCGGTGTGGAGGGTGGCCGCCCCGGCCACGGCCGACAGCGCCCCCTCCTCGGCGACGCGCCTAGGGCCCGCCGGTGGCTGCCGGCGCGGGTGCCACCCGGCGCTGCCTCCTTCCACCGATCCGCCTGTGCTACTGTGGTCAACGAAACCCTAGCTGCCTCATCTCAATGACGCCGGATGCATCGCGAGCCACGACCGGCGCAGGTCGGCCGACCAAGCCTATGTGTGGCCTCGTCATCGACGGCGGCGGTGGCGCCTTACCTCGCCCGCTGAATCTGGTGGTACGTCACCCTCTTCCTCTCCTCCTCGGTCTCCTAACTCCTCCCCCAGATCCTCTCTCCCTCCACCTTTTCCCCTTTGTGCAGGTGATTCATTGGAAGGAATGAAGCAATGGGGTTGGAGCACGGGAAGTTCGCTATGTCATTGTTAGTGGTTTTGTTGAGCAGGGATGGGAAGAGAGAGGGATCTATATCATATTCAGCTTCGAGTATGGTCACTGTGTCTGTAAGGAGTCTTGTGCTCCGCTGGGTTTCTGGGTGCTTGCAATTACTCTTAGTGTTGAAGGTGGTGGCTTTTTAGTCTCTCAAGTCTCAATGTAATGTCATTACTCTGGAATAATAACTATAGGATTTTATTAGATTAAGAAAGTTTTCTGCCTGTGGGTTGAACATCACTACTGTAACTACTAGGAACTGCACTTATAGCTATTATACTGTGTCACGGTGTGTTTGAAGCTAGTGTCATGAGTTTCTGGTAGTCACTTAGGTGGTTGTTTGGACACATTGATTATGTGTATGTTTGATTGTTTTCACAAAACAGGTTTTTTAGGATTTTTATGAAAATTGGTTTTAGGTTGTTAGTTAGGTAGGTCCAGGTTTATGGATTACTTTGTTTGGGTTTCGTAAACTAAAACAATTATTCTCTGACGCCATTACATAGCACCAGATCACTTTTCTTCTAATTTAACAATTGATTAGACATTAGGGAAGTAGTATGGATTATGGTGCTTACTTTGTTAAGCACATGACATAAGATGAAAGAAAAACGAAGCACATGGCGCAGAACATGAGCTACATGAGTTGGTTTCTAAAAAAACAGGTAGGAATCATTTTTATTTTTTTAACTGGATTTTTTGTTATCCCAGTTGTTTTTTTAATATCTATCCAAATGGAGTTTTAGGTGGTTAGGCTCACATCAGGTAGGAATCTACTTAGCTTGCTGCATCTGACCTTGCTGTTGAGGGATCAGACTTCATACAGATGTTAAGTTTTGGATAAAATTTCTTATTATCAAAAGTTTTTTGTGTTCATACAGATCAGACTTCATATAGACTAAGAACAGGATGCCAGGTCAGATCCTAACACCTGGCATCCTGTTGTTAGGATCTGTTTTGTGTTGGATGAGGCTAGAGTTTCCTAATATAATGCTTCAATAAGTTTTTATCAGCTTTATGTATTATTATACATATCAAGTTCGAAAAGCAGATGAGTCTTGAAATATCTCTTTTTGCTCAACCACTACTGGTGTTTAAATTATCATGGTCTCACTGCTTACAACATGCTTATGCCCAGGATTGTGTTGGCTTGATAGCCTTCTAAAAATAAAATGTTTTATTGGATGCATTGCACTATTGAAGGGATGGACATTTTATTTAGTGACTACTGAAGGATTACTCAGCATAATCATATATGCTTAATGAAACTGCAATAAAAAACCATTTACCCTACCAAAGGTTGTCCAACGGGTCATCTACTATAAAGGACCCTCTCCGCAAAGGAGCTTGGCAAATGCTAGCTGTCTTTTCTATTCTTCATGAGACTGCAATTTCATGCTTGTTGAATAGCATGCAGGTGATAGATATCAAGCGATTCAACAACATGATGAGTGACCATGGCAAGCATTGTTGCTGCAGAGAGGCGAAGCAAAAGGATTCTCGAGTTGGTGAGGCGGAGCCTGCAGGTCGACGATGGGACTGCTGCGTACTACTTATCTGTTACTAAAGGTGATCCAAGGGCTGCCATGATGGAGTACTCCGAGGACCTGAGGTGGGAGCAGCAAATCCTACTGCCAAACAATTGGTAGTTCAAGGTTTGCACACCAAAGCCACTTGTTCTCAGTTTCCTCTGGTTCTAAATATTCTGATTATTTTGGAATTTTGCATACTGTGCATTTCATATTAGGAGAAAATGGTGTTGGGTTATTCCTCAGGAATGCCGAAAATAGCAAGTGATGGAGTAACAAAAGCTTCGACATGCTATTAGAGTTACTTAAGGATGTCTTACCTGAAGAGTCATCACTTTCTAAAAACTTTAATGCTGCTAAAAAAATCAAGTTGGTGTATGTACTATGATCATCACCTGACCTGCTATATATATATTGCAAGTTACTAGTTGCTGCGAAAGAAGTTCACACGTGTTGTTACCGTTATCAGTTGTTTTAAACCTCTATCTGAATCTGGCTTCCTTGTCTTAATAGAATTTCTCCTATTACTATATCTTAATTTGACAGTTTGTCGGGGGTGCATTATGGAGAAAATAAATGATGAGGAGGTTGACTGTTGCCCAGTATGCGACATTGATCTTGGTTGCGATCCTGAAGAGAAACTCAGGTGAATCCGTTGTTCTAACTTTTGAGTTTCTTCTATAAAACATAGTTTCTACTTTCTCCTTACCCTGTTCTAGCAATGCCTTCTGCGTTCAATTTTTTTGTACAAGTGCAACCATGAAGATGAAGCATTAGTATGATGTGAAGTCCTATACATCATGCTATTGCTAATGAGTAATAAAACCATGTATCTTGAAAACTTCTCTACAAGATCACTCTCACATCCCTGTTTGCATCATTAAAGCCCTGCTGGAAGCAAAACAAGCACACCCTTATTATGCAACATCATTTGACAATATTTGTCCATTGGCTAAACCATTGGTATAGTCCCTGTTCTTTTTTCCTCCCATTTTAAGTTCAGAGATAAGAAGTACCATGTTCGGTATAATCTCATTTAAGTAGTGGTATGCTGGTAGCATTGGAAGCTTACTTTCTTTCCCTTCATTTCAACTTTATACCTCCTTATTCGGTTTCTATGTGTGGATAGCTGGTCTGACACATTATGTGGATGGAGTGATTGATAGTTTCAATAGAATTCTTGCTGAGTTTATGCAACGCGCTGATATCTTTTTATCCTTTCCAGATTCCAAATTTGGAGGTTTGGTTCCAAAGGCCTAAGGACATTGTTCGTAAACTTCAGTCAGGTGATCTTGACCTTGGTATTGTGGGTTTTGACATAGTGAATACGGGGAGGTAAGCTTTTGAGCAATCCTGTTAATTTTTTTTTCTCGAACACGCTGGAGGGCTCTTCGCCTGGATACGTGGTCTACAATGCATCAAACAATGAGCTTGTGAGGACTCAAACCCTTGTGAAGAGTGCCATTGTGCAAGTTCCTCTGGTGGATCACTTATTGTTTGAGATTCATTCATACAGGTACAAGAGGGTGAGGCAGCAGCTGAGGAAACAAAGAAGAGCAACCATGTCAAGTGGAAGCTTGAGGAGCGTCAGAAGGGACGTGAGCTTGACGCTCACATTGAAGAGCAATTTGGCAGTGGAAGCTTGCTGGCGTGCATTTCTTCCCGCCCGGGACAGTGTGGCCGAGCTGATGGGTAAGAAATAATGGACTTCCACTAGACTTTCTTTGTTTTTTGTTAGAGCAGCTTATCTGTTTGTGTACCATTTAACTTTTGTAGCTTAAAGCTTAATGTTTGTTTATACTCTTTATGTTACAATCACTGTGAGTCTAGACATTTTAGATATGTTGGCAGCTGTCACAAATTTATCCTTCTAGGCTTCAAGTAGAATGGAAGTTGTCCCTTATTTTCACTTATATCTTATATTGCAGGCAGCTCCTTACAATACACTTTTCTTTTTTGTATAATAGGTACATCCTTGAGGGTAAAGAGCTTGAGTTCTACATGAAGAAGCTTCAGCGCAAGAAGAGCAAGGGCGCTGCAGCTTACAGCATTCTCATGGATGGTCCTCCGTGGAAATGTGTGGCCTATTAAATATTACTCTGGCTTTTTTTGTTAGTCCTCTCAAGTTTAGAACGTCTATGTCATGTTTTGCAGACCTGATGAGAACACTGTTTTTCAAAAATGAATCAACTCTATCTAGCTCCTAAGAATTGAGATTTTCCTTCTATATGAATAACAGTGGATTTGTCAAATTATTCAAATTGTATTTATATCTATATCTGCAGTACAGTTTTGCCGATAGGTTAGTTGTTGAACAGGGCATGATTCACAAAATACCTTGAAAATAGTTTCGCCAACACACAAACTGTCGGGAAAGGTTTAAACTGTCAGCGTAGGTCTTAACTGTCGGCAAAGGATTAACTGTCGGCAAAGGTTTCAACTGTCGGCGTAGGTCCACCATTTGGCAACACAAAAAGTGTCGGCGATTCCTTTAACCGGCGGCGAAAGTTTCGCCCACAGCTTATAGCGCGACTGTTTCTAAACTGTCGGCAAAACCTTTCGTGAGAGGTTATCTGTCGGGAAAGGTACCCTTTGTCCACTATAAAAAGTGTCGGGAAAGGTATGTTGTGTTATAGTGAGGTCGGGTCAACCAGATGCAGGACCCTAGCGTCTGGTCCATAGATCTACGCCATGTGTTTCTTCCTTTGATTCTCCACCGCGTAATCCTAACGGTTAGATTCGCCCGCGCCAGCACTCAAGTGATGATCGAACGCACAGGAGACAGGACTGGACGCACCGGTGCCAGATCGCGCACGCGTTCGTGCCATCACCTAACGACCGGACACGCCGCTCCCTATGATTTTTCATGATCGGACGCATCCTCTTAAGTGTGACCGGATCTAGGCTAGAGTCTGGTCCTTCTTCTCCTGTATGCACCAACACATTCACCGTTTAGCGTTCGGTCAAAAGACCGAGGGTGGCCTTCACTGCGCGTCACTGACCGAACGCGGCTGTTGAGTCCGGTCACTGCTAGAGCAGCATCTGGTCACCTCGAAACAGTCCCTTCTCAACTCCAACTTTGTCACCCTTGATCAAATGTGCCAACCACCAAGTGTAACACCTTGTGCACATGTGTTGGCATATTTTCACAAACATTTTTAAGGGTGTTAGCACTCACTAGAATCTAAATGCATATGCAATGAGTTTGAACATCTAGTGGCACTTTGACAACCGTATTTCGATACGAGTTTCACCCCTCTTAATAGTATGGCTATTGATCCTAAATGTGATCACACTCGCTATGTGTCTCGATCACTAAACCAAAAAAGCTCCTATCAAGTTTCACCTTTGCCTTGAGGTTTTTATTTTTCCCTTTCTTCTTTTCCAAGCCGAGCACTTGATCATCACCATGGTCACACCCTTATCATGATCTTCACCACTTGCTCCATTCCTTGGAATGTGCTACCTATCTCATGATCACTTTGATAAACTAGGTTAGCAATTAGGATTTCATCAATTCACTAAAACCAAACTAGAGCTTTCACGGGCTCTACGTGTGAATAGTGACATCGGATAGCCCCCGGTCACATAGGACGTTAACCAACATCGTTCGATGTCAACATTGCAACAATGTCTGAGGAATCAATTCTAGAGACCAAGAGCACCCAAAACTACATCGGACGCTGTCTGATGTCAATAGTGCCAGCACCTGATGCTAAAAGGGAGTCAATCCAAGGCTCAAGGTTTCACATCAGATAGAAACACATTTGTCCAATGTAGTTTCCACCAATGTCTGATCCCCCTACCATATGCCTGGGCACCTAGAGTTAGCAACAGAACAAGGCATAGGTTTGTCCGATGCATGCACCACCTCTGTCCAATGCTCCGCAGTGAGCACTTCTCCTTCATTTCTTCAACCCCTTTTGCAAATGTGATAACACCCAAGTGTTCCACCAACTTGTGCAAGTGTGTTAGATTTTCACAAATATTTTCCAAAGGGGTTTTCACTCTTTTCACCATGCCACTCGATCCTAGCACGCATGCAAAGTTATACCTCTCATGTGGCACTAAATTACCAATATGCAAACAAGTTTGCCCCTCTTGATAGTATGGCCATCTATGCTAAATCCAGTCATATACTTCTCTACACACCTATGGCCAGTGAAATGAAATGCCCTACAAATATACCTTTGCCTTGCACATTTCATTTCATCTCCTCCATGGTTGATGCCACAGAAGCACCAACCTCCATCATAAATGATATGATCCACTTCATATCATCATGTGACCTTATTGGTTCATTGATCTCGACATCACTTGATCTTCACCATTTCCCTTGTCCATCGGTGCCAAGTCTTTTCCCAAGCTTTCGCCACTTGTGGTGCATTGCTCCAAAGCCTCCGACTTGCCCTTCACACTTGCAATTGGTCCATCGACACTAAGCTTTGTCTTGATCTTCTCCATCTAGCCACATGACTCCATGCCATGTCTCATATGCAATGAGCTCCTTCATCACATGTGTGAGCATTGAAACGTATCCAAGCTTTCCAAGCCAGACGCGTTATTTCCAAGTTTCCTTGGGTAAGTGAAGAGAACCTAGCCAACACTTAGATCCGGCTCTACCCAAACTTTTTTGGCCATTTCCACCTCCATAGCATAGGTTGCTCACACTAGTGTCCCTATAGACTAATTTCCTATGTATCTCATATAAACACATGTTAGTCCACTTAGGTTGCCACTCAATTACCAAAACTAAACAAGGACCTTTCACACACTCTGGCGTGCGAGTCCACACACCTCAACTGCTGGGTGTGGATGAGAGACCATGATGAGCGCCCAAGGTCCATGGAGTACACCATCTTCATGGTAAATGTGAGTCAAGCCTTAGAGATCAACAACCTCCCCATTCCAAACCGCATCTCTTCTTCACCCCGGTAGGCAAGACTGGTGACAAGGCCAATCTGGTTGACATGGCGCCTTACGAAAGACTGGTGCCCATGCTCCCATGATGGATCAACCTTGAGGACCTCCTCAGAGTATGGCAGCTCTGCCCCGGTAGTCATTCCTTTTGCCTGGACATACGCCAAGCATCCTCGACGGACTACCTGTGTCGAGCAAGCACGTGGTCCCTAGTAGTTGCCAAGAACCAGCTATGCCAAGGCGTGTAGGGACCATGACCCAAATTATGACATCGAGGCCCACATTGAAAGGACCTAGGATGCTGCCTAGAGGGGGGTAAATAGGTGTTTCTAAAAAATAGCACCTTTAAATACGGAAACGATTAGAGTGAGAGCTTCCAATTACTTGGAAGCTCCAAAATAGAGTAAACGAACCCCTCACAAGCTAACCATAAAGCATATAACAAGTACTAAATAAATATAGGAGCCACAACCCTACAACACAGAGATTAGAGTAAAGAGCAAATAAAATCAACATAGGGGTAAAATACCGGACATGTCCGGTAGGTCACCCGGACATGTCCGAGATGCACGGGGTCAGCGCACCAAGCTCCAAACTTGCTGCCTTTGATTCTAATCTTTTTCTCCGGGCTACAGGGACCTACTAAGAGTTGCATTTGACAATATACACCTTCACACGATCTAGCACAACCCAAGTGGATCACAAATATCAAATGATAGAGAATTGAGACACGATATTTATTTTATCGAAGTTCAGACTCCTTCGAGTTCTACTCTCTGTTGAGGGGGTTGCGAGCGACCCAGAAAAGGTCATCTCTAGAGAGGACCCACAAAGGTCAACTCTAGTCAGTATTTTTGATGAGGACATCAGTACCTCATCGCATACAATCCAAGGAGAGGAGGAGGTCCAGCATGGGCGTCCAATTCATCTTTTTCAGGGTGGAGGCCCAGTCCAACTGAAGTTGGAGTCCATCTCGGATTCCAGGACCAGTCTGCCTTAAACTGGTCACCCAGGACGCATCCGGACTCCGTTTTCGATGATCCACATATGGATGGAAAGCTAATTTGATAAGGAAGCCAATCCAAGTGGTATCACATCAAATGCTATTCGGAATCAATGGAAATCGTCGAAACAAGTTAGCATCTAGAATCTGTCAGGGTGCTGCGACACCGTATTTTGGTCTGTTGGACCATGTATCATGTTTGGGCCCATTAGGGGGCGCGTCCAGGGGGGTGGCGCCCAAGACTCTATAATTAGCAGCCGTCGCTTTCCTTAGGGTTTGGGTTTTGTTTAGTTCTTGATTTCCTCATGAAACAGACATTGTTTTGCTGCAACTGTCGCCGCCAAGGCCGCTTGCTGTGAACCAGGGCCCCAATTCTTGATCTTGTTCGCATATGGCGATTAGTCCTTTCGAATAAAGACTCGAACTCCTTCTCGTTATCTTAAGCCTCATATTTATTTGCAATTTCAGATTGCGTTCATCCCGTTCTTGCTTGTGTTCTCGATTCACTTGCAGGAAAGCCTTCTCGGCAAGGTCAATCGCATTCGCGTGGTTGATAACCAACGGAGCAGTGGTGTAATGGTTGCGGGGGTCCGAATCAGTCTTGGTTCGAAGCCTAGATCGTGAACGTCGAGTCTCCACCAATCAACGCTATCATACCTTTCGGAAGATCGGGCCTAGTCTACATCAAGTGGTATCAGAGACCTTGTTGCCCGTTAGGTATATCTTTGTTTTCCCTTTAGATTATTACTGTTTTTTTGCATTACCTATAGTCCACAAAAAGCCAAAAAAAATATATACCGCCACATATTCCTTGTCCTATAACCTCATTGTGTCGTGCAATTTCGTTTCTGTTTCGTGTTGTTGAGTTTGTATCCTAGGTCAAGTTCTGGTTACTAGTTTTCGATCGTTTTGAGTCCAGTTTGTGTTTTTCCCTTTATTTTTCATCATAATCCGTAAACACCTTCAAGTCTTGCTGTGTTTACTTTGTATCCATCAAACACTAGTTCACGCCCTCTATTTTGTTACTTTTTTCACTGTTTCCATCAAATCCTTGCTGCCGTGACAACTTTTGCGCGCATTGTTCCTGTTTTGTCCTCTAATTCGGAGTCGATTCGTAAAACTGGTCTAGTTTTCGCATACGAACTCCGTTTTCGACGTTCCATATATC